GCTCCCTCCTGCCCCGGCATCGGCAGCAGCGCCGCAGAATCCTCAGCGAGTCAAGATGCGCCACTCAGTGTTTTTCTCGGCTGTTATCGTCTCCACAAGTGTTAATTCTGTCGGACTCTTTGCCAGCCTGTTTATTGCAGTGGTCAGTTACAAGACTGGGATGCAAAACCATAGACTCTCCAGTTTCGACAGGCTCCTGGTTAGCCTGGGCATCAACCGCTTCCTGTTGCTGGGATTGTTTCTTCTGAATGTTATTTGCTTTTTCATTTTCCCAAATGTTGTAAGGCCGGTGCCTGTCGCCACTTTTACCCTGTTGTGCTGGCTCTTCTTGGACTCTAACAGCCTGTGGTCTGTAACCTTGCTCAACGCCTTGTACTGTGTGAAGATTACTAACTACCAGCACTCAGCGTTTCTGCTGCTGAAGCGCAACCTCCCTGCCAAGGCCCCCCGGCTGCTGCTGGTCTGTGTGCTGCTTTCTGCCTTCTCCACTCTCCTGTATCTTGTGCTCCTACAGACATCACCCCTTCCTATGTTTGTGGTTGGGAGGAATGGCACCGAGTTTCACATTCATGCGGACCTCTTGTTTTTGGTGACCTCTTTGGTGTTGAGTTCATGTCTGCAGTTCCTCATCAACGTGACGTCTGCGTCCCTGTTAATCAGCTCCTTGAGGAGACATGTGCAGACGCTGCAGAGAAGCACTACTACTCTTTGGAATCCCCAGATTGAAGCTCATGTGGGCGCTATGAAGCTGATGATCTTCTTCCTGGTCCTGTATATTCCCTATTCCATGGCTACCCTGTTCCTTTACCTGCCTTCTCTAGGCATCGGCCTGGAGGCCAGATCTGTTTGTATGATTCTCTCCACCCTTTACCACCCGGGACATTCTGTGCTCATTATTCTCACACATCCTAAACTGAAAACTAAAGCCAAGAAGTGTCTTTGTTTCAACAAACAGTGGAATTCGAACGTTCGCTAGTGCCGGAGCCACCTCATAATTTGGGAGCAGGATTTTCTCTGTTGTCTGAGTTCTGAGATTTGAGGAGTTTATTCATGCGAGTGCATGAATTCAGTGCAATTTACATTACTTTTTCTGATATTTAAATTCAGGTACTCTCTCTATGGAATTTCAGAAATATTATTTCTCATGTATTCTGCGTGGGATTGCATTTCTGGGAAATGGAATTCACCACTTATTTCCATTGACGATTGAAGTATAATGGGATGTTTCCTCAACTAACCCAACCATTATAGTTTGTATCCCTAGTTAAATTTTTGCACTCCTACAAGGTGTCTGAGAGACACTAGTCTAGTGAGAGGAACAGAAGAGGGAAAGTTTCAGTGAGAAAAGGGGAAAGAGAATGGTGGAGGGACAAAAGTGAGCATTTGGCAGATGCACAGAAAGCAGGCCCTGGAGTTGCTTGATGCGACCAAGCTGTTACTAGCAAGAAAGGGTAGGAATGAGTTTGTAGGATTATTCTGTCAAGAGGCTAAAGGCTATAGCTGTTAAGGAGAATGAAGTGATCCGTGTTAATGAATCCCACACCAGGCTGCTTTCTAGGATGTTAAGACCCAGTGATGTAGCCTAAGGTGAAAAGGATGTGTCAGCTGGTGAAATGGACACAATCTGAGCACACATTGACCAGAGCTGTACCGATGAATGGAATCCACCGGAGAGCCTAGGGAATCACTGGACTGGTCGCGGAGTGCCTGGCTGTTAGTGAATCTGTGCCGTCTGTTCGTGAATTAGTGCACTGAATATATGGTAACTGAACAGTTTCCTTGGAGCATGTTTTGGGCAGGGGGATGGCAGTGGGGTGTTTTCGCTATGGGCTGTGGTGACAGAGAAACAAAATCTGAACATGGAATAGTTAGAAGTTGCAAAGGAAATTGGGGAGCAGTAATTTTTAGTTCTGTTGCTTTTTGGTGTCTATGAAATATCTAAGTAATAGTCATATATGTTAAACTAAGTAACCTTATTAACATGCTATTCTGTATTAAAAATCTCAGAAACCCCCAATTTACAATTTTCCTCATCTACCTGATTTTCCTCATCTACCTGCATGATTCTTGACTGTAATATTCAGTAAGAATGATCTATACTAGTGTTTTATACTGAGAAACCTGTGGATATTCATCATACTATATTTGAATCTTAGCTCTTAGGTGCTATAAAAGTATTACCCTGAGGAATTAAATCCACAGCATGACCTATGGACTCTAATAAATCAGTCACAGAAACCCTCATGGTTCCCTAGTATCAGTTTTTTTCCTACCCTGCTTCTCCATAGTAATAAAAATTTAGTTAAACTAGAAGTTGGGGAGCTACTTATAATTTACAGCTTCCGCTCACCCATAGGTATTGCCGGCCTGCACCCCAGTTCTGTGAGCATTAATAAATAAATCTTAAAAAAAAGAGCAATATCTACATAATAGAAAATTGCAATTATTTTTAGAGCTTTAAAATTGATGTGTAATTTCTAGATGGCGCCCCTACAATGGCTGTGCCCTCTCTTCCCCTCCCCTTTTTCTTCTTCCTCTGAACTGGAATGCCCACGAAATGACCACACAGCTGAGGTGTCTGCCTGGGGTGGTGGGAAAATTCTCCATCCTGGAGGGCGCTCTAGCTCCTGGAGCATCTTCACCTTACCCCCAGGACTGTTCACGAGAGAGCAGTCTCTGTATTGTTTCAGACATTCCAGTTTTGGGTCACTATTGCCACTTCAATAACTTAAGTTTTACCATAAATATATATGATAATGTATATGCTTATAAAGAAATAGTATGCAGTTAGTGAATGTCTTAATAGTTAAAGATCATTTTTTTTTCATTGCATGGAAAATACTGTTAATATACTGCTAAATGAAATGAAAATAAAAATGTATGTATGGTTTCCTAATATCAGTTTTTTTCCTACCCAGTTTGATACCAATTTTTGTAAAAAGCAATATGGACCCTCCCTGATGGCCCAGCGGGTTAAAGCATCACATTATGAAGCTCTCCGAATCCACTGCAGCATGAGTTTGATCCCCGGCCAGGGAGCTGACCCACATGGTGCAGCAGGCCTCTCCTGACGCACCCGTTCACTGCTCCCCTCAGCAGTGTACTTTGTCAATCTGTCTGTTCTGCTCCTCACTGTCACTGGTGACTTATCTCATCCACCACACCACTGGCCTGCACCCCAGTTCTGTGAGCATTAATAAATAAATCTTAAAAAAAAAGCAATATCTACATAATAGAAAATTGCAAATAATTATTTTTAGAGCTTTAAAATTTTTTCCTCAGGTTTTCTAAAATTAGCATATATTTCCTTTGTTATCAGAAATAGACATACTTTTAATTATTTGCAATATGTAGACATCCACCCATCCATCCAGAGGATAAATATAGGATGTTCTGATTTCAACACCCATTTTCTATTCACTAAGAAAGACTAGAAATAATTAGTCTTTCTGCTGGATTATCTGAGTTCTTTTCCTTGTATTGTCAAAGTCTACTGATTCATTTCTTGATTTTCCTATATTGTTTTATTCTCCTTCTCTAGAGTGGAGGTCTGATTTTTTTGAAATGATTTATTTATATATGCATACAAGAACTAGGGTACAGGCCAGTGGTGCAGGGTGTTGAAAGGATTCATCAGAGACAGAGTGGGGAGCAGAACAGGCAGACTGACTGAAACACACTGCTGAGGGGAGCAGCGGGGAGACAGGAGAGGTCTGTTGCGCCATGTGGGTCAGCTCTCTGGCCGGGGATCAAACTCGTGCTGCAGTGGCTGTGGATAGGTTCATAGTGCTGTGTTAAAACCCCTTGTGCCAGCAGTGAGGGCCCTTGGAGGGTCTGTTTTTAATAGGACTTTTGCAGGACTGTTTTTGTTATTTTAAGAATACCTTGAGACTTTTTAGGCATTTGCCCAAATTTACCCTTGGGGAGAGTTTGAATAATGCTGTGTGTTTGGAATTTTGCTGTTTCCAATATGTTCTGTTACTGAGAACTTACAAAGCAGTCATTTTCAATAAAGCTTTTAGAGCTTATCTCTTTAAATTATGATAAAGTATAGGCCTTCTATAAATATGCTTATCTTGCATCTCCCTTCCCTGACATTCAGAAAAAGAGAGATTTTAGGGATGACCACATTCTGAAATGACAGGTGGATGTCAGGCAGTGTCTGTAGCCATCATCAAACATCCACTTTGTTAACGTAACTTGGGGGCCACCAACAGGTTGTTAACATAACAACCGCTATCAGCTCAGCATTGCATTATTTAATCGGTGCCTCACACTGACCCCTTCTTTGGTAGACTTGGTAATATCACCCATTGTACAGATGAGAAGACTGGTGCACAGTCAGCTTATATAACTCACAGCTCATGTTAAGGAAGGGAGGGTGGGTAAGAGTCTCATCTTCATTCATCTTCTGTTTGTAAAATCTGTCCTTTTTCCATTATCCCACAAGGTAGGTGGAGAGGCATAGGAGCAAGTAGGATCTTGCCCAGCATGAAGCATTATTTCCTAAGACAGAGAGAAAATATCCAAGAGGATATCTGAATCAGGATTTGTCTGGCCTGAAAAATACTTACCCACTATCTGTCTGTCTCTCTCGGTGTGGCGGGTGTGCGTGTGTGTGTGTGTGTGTGTGTGTGAAAATCGGTTGGTACTTTGTTTCATTAGGTGAAAATATTGCGTGTCTTGTAGACATTGGACTTTGACGTCTTGAGACGTCTGGGTGATATGTTTTTAAGCCAGTAGGTAGTACAACTTAAGGAGAAACCGTTTTAAAATTTCTTTTGATCTCTGCTACTTAGGAAGGAACAAGCCGGTAGAACGATGACGAAAAAGCAGATATAGCTCATGTACAACTAAATGAAATGTTCACTATTTCACAGCTTCTAAATTCCTTTATAGTGCTTAAATTTCACTAAAGCCGGTGTGGCTTTTGACCTTCCTGATCATTGTTCCCAGCACTCTGTTCAGTGTTTCATTAAACAAAGGAGAAAGAGGAAGGAGACATTGGTGTTATTTAATTTTTAAGAATTATACCTATTTTTACATCATTCATACATCGTGTTCTTTACCCACTCATGCATGGCCCCCAAGGAGTTCCCACCACCCACCCCCAGTTCACCCGTGCACCATCACGTAGTCCCTTGCGCTCTTCCCATCTGTCTTAAACCACTTTCTCCCCCCCAACCCGAACAACATCTCCGGATTAAGGTTGCCTGGAAATTTTGATTTTTGCTTTGTTCTAGACAGTCGTGTTTTAAAGCATGCATCTCGTGTAACTTTTCAGCAGCCTCAAACGCCAAAGCATTCAGGTGAATGTGATGCTCCTTAGTGACGACATTTCAAATCACTTCCCAAGTGTTCTTTTGGACAAGTCCAAGCTGGAGATGGACCTTCCAGCCTTGCAGGCCGGTTCTCAAAGGGCTGAATGTGGGAGAAGCATGAACATTTGTAAGGCGCTTTTTTCGATATTTGTATGTCCTGCCTCCCATTGTTCCTGAGGGGGAGAGTATAAGAGGAAGTGATGGTTTGACAACACTCCCCAGCAATTTGGATAATAAGCCCCTGTCTAGTATTATTTCCTGAGAAAAACAAGGTGAAAGCAGACTCCACATATATGTGAGGATTTGCCTGGCATGGAAATTTCCAACAAGGAAAGAAATGAGTTGGTGGAGGTGGTGGAGTGTCTGAGACTCTTTGTCCCCGATCACGGATTACTGGGGGGCAGAACAGGCAGGGTCTCAAGGTGGGAGCGGTGGCAAGTGGAAATTCCTAGAAAAGGGGAGGGACACTAGGAAGACGTGGGAATCAGAGTTGGGTGCAAGTCTTCCTGTGCTGCCTTTAGCAGAGGTTTATTTTATACATTTCAAGTGAGCAGTGGGATGACATTAGCATATGAATTAGGCTGAGATCACAATCACCTTTTTTTTAAAGAATAGTCTGGGGTCGTTTTGACCTTTAGTTGAGATTATAACATTT